AAACTGTTTCTTTACCCACACTATAAATATATTGAATACTTTGAGCTTCACAAAAAATTTGGTGAGTGTAATTGCCAAAATAAGCAAGATAATTAAAATTGCATTTGGGGGCGCTAATCTGATAACGTAATATAAGTGCACGCATTCTTTGCGAAAGTAAAGAAGAATAGAAAATAAAACATAACGGGTTTTCACTCGCGCGTTTCTTTGGTATGAGCGACATCTCATATGATAATAATGAAAAAAAAAAAAACCAAGAAGTTGCGTGCAATAGGCAAAGAGAAAAACGTAAAAGAAAATGAGTGTTAGGGGAGCCGCTAACCTGATGACGCGCAGTGTATGTCGTCAGATTCAAGGCATTTATTTCGGGCTGCTACTGCACTGCGCTTGTTGTCGCACAGAGATAAAAAATTTTTGTCTATTGCTTGCACTTCGCGACTTCTGAAGTATTGCTAGGATTACTTTTATAAATCCAATTGTTAGCCTTGTTGGGTAGCAAAAGTTTAAATGTATGTTGGGTAGCAAAAGCTTAAATGTAGTCTTAAGAAGCTAAGTGCTCGGGGCTCTCGTTAACTTAATCATACATATATACTTCATCAGGGCGAGGTGAGCTGTAATGATTCCCGTAATTAATAATAAATAAATGTTGTATATTTCGACTTTATTGTTAGGATATCCGTGTATATCATGTGATAAACAATATGTACAATAACGTCAACAATTCGCGAATAGGTAATGTTTATAATAGAATTCTAATGATTACGCGAGCGAAACATTTTTGTTTTAGTAAGTGAGCGACTGGAGGGCTGAGTCTATTGAATGAGATTTTCCCTTGGGGGTGGAACTAAAGTTTACTTACATTTTGAACCCTCGATATTTCTGATATTTTAATTATTATTTTTTATTCCGTGCAGCTAGAAAAGTTCCGAAACCACAACTCCCAGTGGCTTTGTATGGTAGAGTCGCAGCAGGAACGTGATAATGAACAGGATTACAYAGAAAATAATGATAATGATAATGACTTGAACACGTTTATGCGATCAGAGTACTTACAAAATTGCGACCTCTACAACAGCTCGAATATCAACGAGTACGACATCGATAGTAACAGCAACAATAGCAACCATTTAGAAGGTTCCTTAAATTCTATTTATAGCAGGCCTGTGAGCACGTAAGTAATCAATTAGATACTTTGTTTGCTAAGTAGATAATACTTTTTCTCATACAGATTTCGTCTTAGCCAGGATCTGGACGATATGTATAATATAACTTCCAGCTCCAAATCTCAAAGTTTCAATCAGGGCTGTAATGATAACATTTATATGTTTAAGTCGAACAAGTCATTAGATGCTGACGGCTTGAATGATAAGCTTATATAGTAAAAAATAAGACTATTCACAGCGTTGAGTATGTAAACTTCGTAATTACGAAAAATTTATAATTTTAAAGCGTCTATATGCAGATGTTATATTGTACTATGTCTACATATGTTAACATATTTGCTGGCATACATATAAATTATTCACTTAGAGCTTTATAATCAAATATGTTTAGTATTTATTTTTAAATGATATATTATTTTTATTGTGATTTGTAATTAAACGTTTCTAGTCCTGGCATTGAACCAGAGATTCCATTGAAAAACTATAGAGATATGTGAAGTCGTAGCTTGCAAAATATGCGGCCCCTCCAGGTGGAATTATGGAGTTATTGGGGAGGACCAACGAAGGTAAGCGATTCCTTCTTTAAATAAAAGAACTAAATATTGCTGTAAGAAAACAAGACTTATCTCTAAAGCAAACATAGAGTAGATGCGAAAATATAGACCATTAAACGTTGAATCCGTGTTACAGTTTTCTCGTCAGTGCTATTCAAAATGTGCAAAGCAAACAAGAAAACACTAGTCGAACCATGAACCAAATTAATAAAAACGCACATTTAGTATGAGTCAGAATTTCAATCTAGATGTATTGAAAAATGTAAATAAAGTAAAAAACTCATTTACTTACACAGAGTAATAAATTTATATTTATATACATATGTATTGCAAACAAAAATAACATGACACACTTTTACTAGCTGCAATTGGGTAAATTAAATATTTTGAAACAATTTAAACAAATATAAATTGCGCGCTCTGGAGTCGAACCCGAGACTCCTCGATCGAGCGTCGCGCTGCTAGTCACAACGCTACCTCAAATTTGTGATGGCAAAACGGAAATAGGTTCACCACTGCTGCTGCGCCATCTAGCAAAACTAAACCAAACTAACAGCTGATGTGATTCTAAGAATGCTCTAGAAAAATTTTGAATGTAAGTGTGCACACGTATGGGAAAACTGTTGTCGCTGCTGCACGTGCGTGTCTTAATTAATCGAACATTTTGCTTTTTTTTTAACGCTGATTGACTTAACGGAATTTAATTAAACTCTTAGCATATGATCTACATATTCTATTGAATACTTGACAAATTAAAAAAAAAATGCTAAATCATTCACAGTTAGCTATACTAGCATCTGACTTGATTTTTATACCCTGAACCCATTTTCATAATGGTTTTGTTGAAACGTATGTAACAGGCAGAAGGAGGCGTGGCAGACCCCACAAAGTATATATATTCTTGATCA